AGGCCCCTTTCTCCTGGGGCTCACGGAGAAATCTTCAGAGCCTCCTACAGACTTGGCTTCCTGGGCCTGGAAAAGCAAATTGAGACTTTAAAAATAAGCACAGGTCTGATAGTCAGTGCCTTCCCGTGTGGGATGGGGGGGGTGGTGAGGGTTGCTGCGGGATTCCGTCTGTATTCTAGGATGTGGATCGCACAGGGGGGCGGGGGTTCTGCGCTGCAGCCTTTGCTGTCGTCACCGTGACAGACCTGCCCCAGGGGAAGGGGGTGTCCTAGGGTGTTGGTGGGAACGTGGGTTCTAGTCCTGATCCTCTGCCCCCTTCTGGGGGGTCCCCCAGTGGGTTCCTAACAAAGCCTGGGCAGTGTCTACACTGCCTCAAGGCCCAGGGCTCTGGGGCAGATCACGTGGGGTCTCCGGGGAGGTCCTTGGACGGTTCTGGGGTCCCCGGCAGAGCGGCTCCTGCATGTCTGTTTCCTATTCTGGGGTTCTGAGTATAATTTTGATAGAAGAAAGCGTTTCAAGGCTAAAAGCAATAACAATTGTAGAGTTTACTGCTCGGATTATTTCTAAGGTCGCTTCTCATGGCGGATGCATTAGTGGTTCTTAACGTTGATACGCATTTTCCTGAGGGTTGAGTCGTAATTAAAGTGACTAATTGCTGTTAATACAGTAGGAACAGGCCGCCATCAGTCACACGGACGCTTGTGGGGCACCCGTTTATCTGTCAGCGAAGACACACACCTAAATAAGACTTGGTTCCTGCATGCAAATAACTTGCAATTTAGCAAGTGGTGACAGCCCCATAATTGTTGGCTGCAGTGCTTCATAATAACAGCTATGGGCAGCTAGAAAGAAAGGAGTAATTAGTGTCAGGGCGGGCAGTGAACTTCACAGCGGAAGGAGCTTTGGGCCGGACCTCGGTCGTTCAGTTACCCAGCGAGCACTCACTGACTGCCCTCCGCGCAGGCCGGGACCATCCCAAGGGCTGCCGGGAGCAGCTCACATGGCCGACTCCGTCTTAATGGAGCTGGTGTCCTTGGCAGGAAACTGATCAAGCGGCAGAGTTGACAGCACCACTGGCTCCTTCCCCACCGGCCCCTCCACCCTCCACAGTGTCTCAAAATGAAAGAATCTTTTGGGGCCAGCCGTGTGGTGTGATGGGTTAAACCTCCACCTGAAGTGCTGGCAGCCCGTGTGGGCGCTGGTTCAAGACCTGGCTGCTCCACTTCCGGTCCAGCTCTCTGCTATGGCCTGGGAAAGCAGTAGAAGGTGACCCAAGTGCTTGAGCCCCTGCACCCATGTGGGAGACCTGGAAGAGGCTCTGGGCTCCAGAGGCTTCTGCCTGGCCCAGTCCTGGGCATTGAGGTCCTTTGGAGAGTGAACCAGCAGGTGGAAGATCTGTCTCTCTTTCTCTCCAACTCTGCCTTTCAAATACATCAAAAATAAATCTTAAAACAGTATGTCATTCAGATGTATCTCTGATTGTGACATTAATTGAAATGTGTTACAGAGAATCTGGAGAACAGGGACCTGGATGCCAGAACCTGCCATCCAGGAAGTCTCTCAGCTCCTTGCTGAGCTGCCTCCGAGTCTGTTTTCCACGCGGGTAGTGTATGTTTACAAGGAGGACATGGCCGTGCATATGTCATCGGGCGTCTCGCCTTTGCCACGAAGCACTGAATCGCGACCATTTCCTCGTTTGATTTGGTTGTTTTCGGGAACATCAGCACATCCCATCAGACGGATGTGTTTTAGTTCCCTCGCTGTCTCTCGTTGAACGATTTGGAAAACGATGTCTGTACCTTGGTGGTGTTTGTATAGACACCTTCGAGTCTCTGGGTGTTTCTTTCAAGTTCATTCTCAGAAGGAGGATGCACAGGTTGTGAACTTTCCCAGGCTCCCGGTGGGTGTAACCAAATTGTTTTCTAGCAGGCTGTGTCCACTGGTGCTCCCAGCAGTAGCAGGTGTGTACATCGGTCTTCCTGTCACCCAGCCAGCGCGAGGAAGCCACCTGTGTCGTGGCATGGGTGCTGGGGTGCAGTTGTTGGTCCTCACCAGATTGCAGACTTCCAGAGGGCACAAATTCATAGTAAGCTACACGTTTGTTGCATGCATGTTTGGTGCGTCTGAATGAGTGAGCCGCGGAGGGAGGACAGCTGGGACTAGAATTGAACTTTCTTCGCTGTCAACAGTCCCTTATCAGCGGACTTCCAGGCAAACGGGAGCTGAGCTGTCCCGCAGCCACCTAGATAGATAAAGGGCAGTGCATGAGCGAGAGCCCTGTCGCTCGTCCTCAGGATTGAAATTCAGTGGGCAAATATGTCTCAGCCGCACCCCTATAGTGCTGTGTCATTTCGTCTTCTCCACAGCCTGGTGAGGTGGGACCATCTTCATCCTTGTTTTTGGGTGGGCTCAGAGGTTTTGCAATTAAGGTAACACAGCCCGTAAGCGGGATCCTCTGAGAGGATGCCAGGAGCTCAAAGTGTGGCGCAGTGTCCCTGAGAAGAACATCTCTCTGTGCCCTAGGAGGGCAGATGTACAGAGGACGCTGTGGTCTGAGCCCCTGCGAATCCCCCACGTTCTCGCTGGCAAACCGAGGCCCCAGCATGCTGGCACTGGGAGGTGGTGAGGTTGTGGGGGTGGAGCTCTCGTGCACGGGAAGGAGACCCGGGTCAGACCCTAGCCCCAAAGACCGCGTGAGGACGCAGAACCAGCAAACGGGGCCCTGCTGGGCAGTAGGTCTCCATCCAGGTCTGCTGGCACCGGGGTCTTGGACTTTGCAGCCTCCGGTGCTCTGAGCTGTCAGCTTCTGTCCTCTGTAAGCCACCCAGTGGGAGGTGTTTTGCGACAGCAGCCCAAAGACAAAGACAAGGAAGGATCCCAGGCAGGAAGGAAACTGGACACGGGCTCTCTAGTTGATAGATGCAGCCTCAGCTCCAGGATGCCTTAGCACGCACAGGTCCTCCAGGAATTCCAGGCCGTGTGTTGTGCCCCTCTGAGAAGGGAGGTGCCTTGCGGGGCCCCAAGGATGGGAGTGGGGTGGGAGACGGGGAAAGGCATACAAGACAAAACCCGTAACTCATAATTCATAGTGCAACTTCCCTTTTGCAAAAGCCAGTGCCATTACTGGTAGTATCTCTCTCACATACACACACACACACACGCACGGAGCAGCTAGGCCTCCCGTGTCACATCTGTGTGGCCTGTGCCTTGGGGCGGGGCAGGGTGGGGGCTGCATGTATTTTAACTTAATGATTCCATTTTCTTGAATTTTTTTAATGCTATGATCAATATTTTTATACATGCATCTTTGCATATTATTTCTTGGAAATAATATGTGAAATAATTTATTCTTGATATTGGAGTGAGACTAGATGGAAACTACCCCAGTGGCAGCACCTAGGGCTGGTGGCTTGGGGGGAACTTCAGCCCCTCCCAATATCCACCAGCCCATACAGGTCAAATCCAAAAACTCTCTGAGTAAGAGCATGGTGTTTGCTACACAAAAGCAGTGCTCGGCCTTCTCTTCTACCCGGTCGGCTCCCCGGGTCCTAGTGACATCCGAATTCTGGATGTAGATTCTGCAGGCGCGCCCCCTGCTCCCCCTGTGCTCCTGTGTGCCCACCCTGACTTCCTGCAGCGTGGCACTGTGATAAGGCACGGACGAGGGGAAGTGAGAATGGGTCTAAAATAAGCTGGCTCTCAGATTTCCTGTTAAATAGGATGTGGCCAGTTAGCTCCGGTTGTCTGTGAGTCTCGCTCCGATGCTGCGCCCAACAGTTGAGTATGAGTGGTGCCCCCAGGCATGGGGCTGCTTGTTGGCTGCAGTAGAACCACGTGGAGAAAGAGCCAGGTGGGTCTGGCCCTCTGGGAAATCAAGGTGACATTACCTGTGCCATTAGAGCTTCAGGAGGTGGCTACAGGCACGTGGTGCCTGGCTGTTTCGGGGCTGTGAGGACAGGTTTGGTTTGTAAGGTGAAGCGAGAGAGGCGGTGAACCTGTTTCTGCATTGGAGAAGGTCACTGGAAGGGAGGTGTTTATCATGGAAGCAGCCCTCCAAACAGTGCCTGGGGGTGGACCCCGACCCTGGCTCAGATCCCGGCTCCCTGCTGATGCAGACCCAGGGGGGCAGTGGTGGTGGCTCAAGTAGTTGGGTTCCTGCCACTCAGGAGGGAGCCCTGGGTCGTGTTCCCAGTTTCCCAGCTCCCAGTCCACTGGCACTGGACACTGCAGGCATTTGGGGAGTGAACCAGCAGATGGGGACTCTTCTGTTTTTCTCTCTAAATAAATAAAACACAAAACCCAGATAAGTAAGAGAGTGCCTGGAAGGGAGGAATGTCGAAGGACGGACCATTTTCAGTTAAAGTGACTGTTTTTAAAAAATATTTATTTATTTGAAATGCAGAGTTACAGAAAGGCAGAGGCAGAGAGAGAGGCAGAGAGAGAGAGGGGGGGGGAGAGAGAGAGAGAGAGAGAGAGAGAGGTCTTCCATCCACTGGTTCACTTCCAGGATGGCTGCAATGGCCGGAGCTGTGCTGATCCAAAGCCAGGAGCCAGGAGCTTCCTGCAGGTCCCCATTCAGTTGCAGGGGTCCAAGGACTTGGGCCATCTTCTACTGCTTTCCCAGGCCATAGCAGAGAGCTGGATTGGAAGTGGAGCAGCCAGAAGGGGATGCCAGCTCCGTAGGTGGTGGCGTTACCTGCTACAGCATAGCGCTGGCCCCATGTGGAATCCTTGAAGTTCATAATCCTCTACCCTAATATTTTTTCCCAAAAATTTATGTATTTGAAAAGCAGAGAGAGAGAGAGACCGTCTGTCCACTAGTTCACTCCCCAAAAGGCTGCAATGGGCCAGGCTGGGCCAGGCCAAAGCCAGGAGGCAGATACTCCATCTGGGCCTCCCATGTGGGTGGCAGGGACCCAAGTTCTTGAGCCATCCTCTGCTGCCTTCCCAGGTGCATTAGGAGGGAGCTGGACTGGAAGCGGAGCAGCCTGGCGCTCCAGTATGGTATACTGGCATTGCAGGTGGTGGCTTAGCCCACTGAGCCACAAGGCCAGCCCCAGCCTCACAACTTCTTAATTGAAGAGCTCAGGTAAGGGCTTCCAAGACTTACCTTGCAACCAGGCTAAGACTCAGAACTGCTTGTTGAAACTCCTGAAAAATGAAAGTACATTTGTGCTCATCCCAGTGTGTAAGCTGGGGCCACACATACCCAGATAAGCATGACTCGAGAGAGATGGAATGCACGCAGCATCCTGGCTGTGCGTGGCACAGGGTCACCATGGGCTGCTGAAAGACATTTTTTTTTTAATGACTTTTTTTAAAAAAATGAGTAACTGAAGCAAGAGAAACAAGAGGTGTGAAATCTATACTTGGATAAAACGGATAGCTGGTAGTCTTGGTAGTAGGTTGTGCTATTTGGAACTTTGTTTTGCCTCCTGGAAAACCCTGTTTGGCCTGAAAGTGGTGACACAGACCTTTTGATCCCAGGTGTACAGTTCATAAACCTCTGCTCAGTGTCCTGGGTTCCATGTGTCCTCCTCCGGGCCCCCCAGATTCCTATCTGTCCTAGAACCTCAGAATGTGTCCTTGTTTGCAAATAGGGCCATTGCAAATGTCATCAGTTAGAATGAGGTCACCTTGGAATAAGGTGAGCCTTTCGTCAAATTCCAGTTTGCACGAGAATAAGGTATCTTTTTTTTTTTTTAAGTAATCTACCATAAATCTCTAAAACTTTTAAAATTTGTCCTAGGTTTTTTTCTTTAAGATTCATTTATGGGGCTGGTGCTGTGGCACAGTGGGTTAAGCCTCCACCTGCGGTGGCACCACCGGCATCCCATATGGCCACCACTTCGTGTCCTGGTTGCTCTTCTTCCGATCCAGCTCTCTGCTTAGGGCCTGGAAAAGCAGTAGAAGATGGCCCAGGTGCTTGGGCCCCTGCACCTGCATGGGAGACCTGGATGAAGCTCCTGGCTTTGGATCAACTCAGCTCTAGCCATTGCAGTCATTTGGGGAGTGAACCAGCAGATTGAAGACCTCTCTCTGTCCCTTCTCTCTCTAACTCTGCCTCTCAAATGCATAAATCCTTAAAAGACTTATATATTTATTTGAAAGGCAGAGTTAGAGAGGGAGTGGGTGGGGTAGGGTGGGGAAGAGAGATCTTCCACCTGCTGGTTCACTCCCCAGATGGCTGTGATTGCCAGGGCTGGGAGGATCCAAAGCCAGGAGCCAGGAGCTTCTTCTGGGTCTTCCACATGGGTGCAGGGGCTCAAACACTTGGGTCACCTACCGCTTCTTTTCCAGGCACATTAGCAGAGAACGTTATTGGAAGTGGAGCAGCCGGGACTCGAACCGGCATCCATATGGGATGCTGTTGTTCTAGGTGGTGGCTTAGCCCGCTGTGCCACAACGCTGGTCCCTGGCCCAGATTTTTGAAGTCACAGGAAGAAATGGTTTCAAAAGGTGCTGCTGGCCGTGGGTTCCCCTGGGCTGTGGCTCGGGCTCTTGCTTCCTTCTGGAGGGAGTGGACATGGTTTCTATCGGGTGTAGATGGGGTAGCATGCTCAGACATGGCAAAGACGAGCCATGAAAGGGGCAGCATTTTTGGAAAGAGTTTTGGGGGTTTTTGATACAGAAGGGAACTTTAAAAAGTTCGTGGGAAATGGAATCGAAAGAGCCCTTTATTTTGGTGCAGAAAAATTGAAATCCATGCCTATGAAGGGATCTTCAAAAAGTTCGTGGAAAATGCATATCATGAGAAAACTATGCATGGATTTCCTTTTTTTTTTTTTGCACCAAAATAAGCATCTTTTAATTCCACTTTCTGTGAACTTCCTGTGTCCCCTTCTCTGTGGTTTGGCTTCCCTAGGTTGCTGTCATAACTGGGATTGTCTCCTGGGTGTCCTGCCGTGAAAACCGTGTGGTTCCTTTCCTGCTGTTCCCCTTCCGTGTGCCTCCTCTCTGCTGCAGTCTGGGTGTCACCTTTGGCAGCTCTGGGCATTTGGGGTCCAGGGGAGGCTGTCGGGTGGGCTGGGCGAGGCCTGTCCGAAGCACCAGGTACATTAGCTGTCCCAGAGCCACATCAGATGGGCCCAAGGGAGTGGAAGGAGCCCCTGGTAAACAGGAGGATTCCCCTGGTGAGGTTCCTCGCCCTGAGGCAGCTGGGCCCCCTCTTTCCCACGCCACGCCACGCGGCCACCGACTGCCTTCCGCACGCCACCCTCCCCCACCTCATCTCGTTTTGCCCTTTGCCAAGAGCAAAGGTTCCCAGGACGCCAGGGCGGTTTCCCTTGCTTGGCACAGCCAGACACGGTTCTGGTCTTCTGAGCAGGGCAGAAGCCGCAGGGCTGGAGCCCACGGTGTGTGCTGCGTGCTTCGCGGGTGTTGCCGCAGAGTCGCACCGTGACTTTGTAAGGGACATGTTCTGACTGCAAGACAGCAGACCCAGAAATTACTCCACTCACCCCGGGGCGCAGATTTCAGCCTGTGGTCATGGAGCTCCGCAGTTACCCCCCATCGTTAATTTCCCAGGTCTCCCAAACGTCTCCACTGCTCGCGTCTCTTCTTTTCGGAAGCCCCTGGGTGCTTTCTGGAAAAGAAAACCCGCTTTGGGCTGGGCACAGTGTCAGGACTGAGGAGAGTCACCCCGTCCAAGGCCATGTGGCTTGGGGTCACCATGGATCCAGGGGCGTGGTTCCTGACCTTAGCTAACTGGAGCACCGCGTGGCCATGCTTCTCTGCATTCCTCGGATACGCAGCACCTGGTGCAGTGCCTCCAGATTCTCCGATTCACCCACAGGTCTCCAGCTCTCCAAACCGGCCCAAGCCACCAACCGGGCCCTCTCCCTGGGATTCTGGCAAAACTGGACTCCTGCTTTCATATTCGCCTTCCCTTCGCCTCTGTGTACAAACACACGAGCCTCCTCACAACCCATTCACAACTTCCTGTTGCATCTAAAATAGAAACCCTCTCCTTAACTTGACCTCCGGGCCCGCGTGACTCGGTCCTGCCTCGTCAGACTTCATTGTTCCCCTTGCTGATCGGGCTCCCTCCCTGCTGTCGTCGTCTTTTTTTAGATTTTATTTATTTGAAAGAGTTACAGAGAGAGGTAGAGACTGAGAGATCTTGCATCCACAGGTTCACTCCCCGGCCCCAATGGCCGCAGCTGAGCCGATCAGAAGCCAGGAGCCAGGAGCTTCTTCCGGGTCTCCCACGTGGGTGGAGGGGCCCAAGGACCTGGGCCATCTTTTCCAGGAGCAGTAACAGGGAGCTGGATTGGAAGAGGAGCAGCTGGGACTCAAACTGGCGCCCATATGGGATGCTGGCACAGCAGGCCGGGGCTTTAACCCGCTGAGCCACAGCGCCAGCCCCCGTGCTGTCTTCTCTCAGTTCCTCATGAACACCAAGTTCTTGTCCACATCAGGAGTGTTGGGCTTGGTGCTCCCTCTGCTTAGAATCCTTTTCCTGCCCCTCTTCGGCCCCGCATGCGACAGTTCCCATTTCCCACAGTGGCCTTCCCCGTGCCTGAAGCCAGGTTCCGCAGTTAGAATTTCTTACGCACTTCAGCTTTTCTTCCTTCCACTTCACGTGGCCATGCGGTGAATCCTCACAGGGTCCAAAGCGTTCGGTCTCCCAGATTTTGGATAATAAGAGAAGCGAGTTCAGATGTGAGGTCTCCGAATGTACCAGAATCTCTCTGGTCCCTGTGTTTGGATAGGAGGGAATACCCGAGTCGTTCCACGTCTCTGTCCAGTATTCTGCACCACGAGCTCCGCTGTGTCCATTCCACGGTGCATCCCCTTACCGCAGGCGCTCAGGAAGTGCTTACTGAGTGACTCAAAGGAATAGACCAGTGAGTGAGTGATGAGGGGGAGAGCCAACGACCCAGGTGGGGGATGGGGCTCTGCAGGTTCTTCTGCAGTGTAGCGCCCACTGCTGAGACCACAGAGGATTTGACCCTGGGCCTGCCGCACTCTGCAGCCTGTTTTTCCCCCTCTGTTGACTGCCAGAGTCTGCTCTCCCCTCTGCTACAGTCTCTTGTGTCTAGATTCCTTTTGTCCTTGTCACTGTTGGGAATGGGTAAGGGGGGAGGATAGTAGATGGTGTCGTGGTCTGAGGGACCCGTTCCAGGTGGTTGCTCTCCTGGTTGGTGGTTGGAGAGGGATGCCAAGGGCAAGTTATCTTTCTAGTTGTCGTCGCCAAGGAGGGGAGAGCTGCGTGCAAGTGCCTGGAAGCAGTCATGGTCCCTGGCTTGGGATGACAAAGGGACAGCCCTTGTTGATGGTCATATGAACGTATTAAGTGCTCTGAGAAGTCCTGTAGTCAAGAAACCTGTTTAACTGCGATTAACCCAGTAGTTTTCAAACTCACACCACCATTGAGCCAGTTTTGGGGAGCAGGTACTGCTTCATTCATTGATTGAGCATCGTCACCAAGCACCTGCCCTGTGCAGGTGCTGTTTATACTGGAGGTGTAGCGGTGACAGGGTGGACCTGAGAAGCCTCTGTTGTCCTCATCTGCAAAACGGGTGTCACAGTGGTACCTCCCCTGCAGATGCAGATAAAGATCCAGGCTCAGTCCAGGTTGTCAGTGATACGTGTCTGTGGTTACTACAGCTGAGTGAAGGATCTGGCTTGAAGCGGTTAAGCAGGTACATACGCAGTAACAGCTGTAAATTATGCAAAGGGCAAGGACAGAGTGTCGCGAGTCCGTGGAGCGAGGAGAGCCCAGCCAGCGTTGGGGTGAGGGAGGCGGTGGTCACAGGGGCCAGGAGCTGCCTCCTAAAGAAGTTGTGTGGCACTCAGACGTGGGTGGGGTGCGGGAAGAGGACAAGAAGGGACTACCCCTCTGGGAGACACGGCCTGGACACCAGCAGTCGGCAGACATGGGTGCTGTCCATGGAGCTCATTCCTGGACCACCCATTGCAGAATTCGGGGGACGGGGTGGCCTCTGGTAGGCTGAGGGGTCTAGAAACCAATGCTTCTTTTAAACCTCTCCCTGGGAAGGGGGAACCACGCTGGGGATTTTCCTTTAGCAGTGAGCTTGTCAACCACCTGGAGGGCTCACGCAAAAGACGGGTTTGGGTGCCTCCCTTCTAGAGAGCTGGACCAGGTAGGCTGGAAGTGGGACCTAAGACTCTCCGTCGAACCCGAGTGGGTCTGCCGCAGGGGTCCCCTGACCTTAGACTGTGACTCTGCGTGGTGAACGGCTGTCATGGCGGATCGGTTCTGCTGGATCTTGGGAAGTTGTCTTCCAGGTGAATCAGAGGGGCAACACGTGACTCAGAGATGTGGCAGCTGCAGCGAGCTGAGGCTGGGCTGGGCTGGGCTGGGCTGGGTTAGGTTAGGTTATGGGTCACAGGGACGGCTCGAGGTCGTCGAGAATACTCCACTGGTCCTGGCCTTCGGCTCGCCTCAGAAGGTGCTCACTGCACATCTGACGCCCAGCCCCAACTTCACGGATGTTGGGTGTCTATGAAGTCCTGCCAGCAGTCAAACTGTTGGGTTTAGACTTCCCTTGAGGAAGGAAGACTGACCCGGGTACCTATTCCTGTTCCCATCAACGTCGGGCTTAGGAGGTGGCTCATGAGGTGTGAATTCAAACCCCAAAGCATCTTCCATGTTCAGTGTCCACTGTGCCTTTATGATCAGTAGATCTTTGTCTTAAATATTTTTTATTTTTTGCCTACTTGAAAGATAGAACTAGAGAGAGAGAGAGACAGAGAGAGAGAGAGAGAGATCTCGTCCACCCCTGGTTCCCTCCCCCAAATGCCCACAACAGCCAGGGCTGGGCCAGGCTGAAACCAGGAGCCAGGAAATCCTTCTGGGCCTCTCACATGGGTGGCAGAGGGCCAAGCCCTGGAGCCGTCACCTGCTAGAGGATCCGTCAGCAGGAAGCTGGATCAGAAGTAGAGGAGCCAGGACTCCGACATGGAATGTGGCACCCCAGGGCGTGGCCCCGCCACGGCTCAACACCCACCCTGGGCAGTGGGTCTTAGGTAAGTGCTTGAGGTGCCAGTACGAACAGAGGGGAGCTGAAAGGCCTCCGACCACAGACTTCCTGCCAGCCTGCCCCCCCCAATCCCCACCCCCGCCTCCGGGGTGCACCTAGGGCTGTAATTACTGAGGCTGCGGTGACCGGGGGGGGGGGGGGGGGGGGGGGGGGGGGGGGCAAGGTGAGGAGGTCTGCACAGCCTGACCTGCTCTGAAACTGGAGCACAGATCACACACACACACACACACGCATGCACGCACATACATGCATACACACGTACATGCACACACACACAAGCACCCACGCCTTCTCCCCGCCCTCCCTCCCTGCGCTCTGAGCTGCTCTGGGCTGGGCTGCTTCCATGACGCTGCCACTCATTCTTGCTTGACCTTTAAGTTTCTCTCTTTCGGGAAAATCTGATCAGCCGTCTGTGCTCCCGAGCAGATGCACACCCGTCGCGGGCAGTCTGCCCACATCATCCACGGCAGAAACTGCTTTCACGACAGCGTGGTGGTTCATAAGAATCCTAATGGAGAAGGGACTCTCCGAGGAGAGGGCCAGGGTGCTGCTCATAGCTGTTGGCACGGGGTTCCGGGGCTGGGCCAGCTCTGAGAGGGCGCCTGCAGCTTCTTAAGGGTACAACGTTTTGCCCCATGGCCGTGCAGCCTGGCTGGGCGATGAAGTTGGCTAGGCGGAGCTGGTCCTGGGCCTCCTAGCCCGGCAGGTGGGAGGTTGCCAGCTGCAGGCTGCGTTTTTGGCTGGCCTACATGGTGAGCTTGTCTGCAGGGCGTGTTCTGGAAGCTTCCAGGCAGGCTGAGTGTTCAGTGACTGCACATCAAAGGCTGCCTCGCCTGGGCTGCTCCCTGGGTCCGACAGGGTCCTGGAGTCCTGGCGTCAGAGCTGGGCCAAGCCCCTGGGCCAGCGGGAGGGGAAGCTAGCTCTCCTGGGAGTGCCCCCAGCACACCCCCATTGCAGCTGAAAGTGATTTATGATGGAGGAGCAAGGTTAGAGGCGCTGGGCAGGGCTTGCTCGCTCTCTACCTTTGCTGTACAAATAAAATGTCATCCGATTTCGCCACCCGGTAGAGCGAGATTTTAGGGGGAGATGCACCTGCCTAGAGTTCAGAATACGCAAAGCAAAGCACTTTTCTGGGGTGAGGGATTTGAAAGTCCTGCCTTGGTTTTTGGGGAAACCTTCGATACAGTGGACTTTTCTTGTTGTTAAAGGTTTATTCGTTTTATCTGAAGGGGAGAGTGAGAGATGGTATGAAAAAGCAACGCATGGATCTGTTTGCTCGTGTTCCGACAGACCTCTGCGGCGCTTACTACTCGGCCATGTTCCTGGCTGTGTGTTCACTGAAACATTTATGGTGATTTCAGAGTGTGCTCGGCTATAAAGCAGGATGCTGTGTTAGGCTGGCGGCAGCCTCCGGCATCTCGTGTGTCCTGTGTCACATGGAGTGGTCATTCTGCACCGTCTGGGTTTGTACTCACCCCAGGACAAAAATGGCCCAGTGATCTGTTGCTTCCACGTCCCAGGCCTTAAGCAATGTGTGAGTGTGCTCGCCATCCCTGGCAGGGACCACACTGAGGTTAAAACGCACATGCACGGGGCCGGTGCTGTGGTGAAGTGGTGAAGTCGCCGCCTGCAGTGCCAGCATCCCACTTGGGTGCAGGTTCAAGACCTGGCTGCTCCTCTTCCGATCCTGCTCTCTGCTGTGGGAAAGCAGTAGAAGATGGCCCAAGTGCTTGGGCTTCTTGCACCCAAGTGGGAGACCAGGAAGAAGCTCCTGGCTCTTGACTTTGGATTGGCCCAGCTCTGGCCGTTGTGGCCATCTGGGGAGTGAGCCAGTGAACAGAAGACCTCTCTCTATGCCTCTGCCTCTCTGTGACTCTGCTTTTCAAATAAAAAGATAAATCCTTAAAAAAAAAAAGCATGTGCATGGTGTCACTGTGTCCCTGTGAGGCCGTGTTGCTGCTGAAGTGCTTTAAGGTTAGGGTTCACAAGGCCGGCGCCGCGGCTCACTAGGCTAATCCTCCACCTGCAGTGCCGGCACACCGGGTTCTAGTCCCGGTCGGGGCGCCGGATTCTGTCCCGGTTGCCCCTCTTCCAGGCCA